CTTATTACCAAGTCTTTTCAGATCTAGTGCTGTGGTCTGTGTGTGTGAGAGTTCTTGGAAGAAGCCCTCATCACCTCGGTCAACAGCACATTCTCCTGTCTAATCTCTCTTTCCATGAAAGCTGCCTTTCCTCCGTGTACCCTGCATGTAGCAGTCGGTATCAGCGGCTTCACTGTCTTCAGCGATGATTTCTTCGTGTTTTGACTTACCTCCTGTTACACAAAACCTATGCTGTGTCTCAAAGAGCACAGATTAAGTCAGCACTCATTGTTATGATTGTCATATAAATTTGTACCCTCCTGAGTTTTGATGGGCTGGCCCACCTCCAGAAGTCTAATTAAAGAGAAGAAAAGACCAAAAGTTTATTCTTTAATAACAACTCTGAACAATGACATAAATGGATCCTCCATAATAACTCTCTATAATTTAATATTTGCTTTGATTATGAACCTATTTTAAATGTGTATGTGAACACAACTAAACCAAACTTCTCTGGAGTAAATTGATATCCTAAAAAACAAGGGTAATGAATTATGCATTTTATATATCACTAGGGACTGGTATCTTAATAACTTTTAAATTGATTTGAAGATAAATTAAGATCTCTACTTGATTCAGTGACAGAAAGTCATTAGTGGTATAGCCTTGATGATCCCTTTTCCCTAATGACAAATTGATAAATTAGTATTCTTGTTTACATAATAATCTCTACGAGTTTGTTTAATATGATCAGTTCCTCAGATTCCCATTAATACTGAAAGAACAGGTAGGATCAGATTTTCATAGCAGAGTAAGTAAGAAACCTTTGAGAAAGGGCTGTTAAGAATAAACCAGTCTTCTATTCTCTTACTAAATGTTGGCTGTAAACAAAGTAAAGCGCTTCATTTATTATTTCCTGCTTGTTCTAGACATCTAATATATCCATATATAGTATCTTTTTAATTCTCAGTATCTTCTAATACAGTTATTATTTTATCCATAAAGAATCGTTGAGTGGCTAGTATGGGAGTTATGTCCAAAAAATTACAGAGCTTTAATTTGTTCACTCAATTCAAACATCTAGAAGAAAGGCATTCTTGAGGCAGCATTTGATCCGGCGGCTCAAAGACGCCACCAGAAGCTGTTCTCTTTCCCCCACTCTTCTGCTGGCCACGTGACAGCTCCATCCCGAGGCTGCCAGTCTGTGTGGTGCTACATGCTGGCCTGTATACTTCCACTTGCCAAGAAGCTCCTTTCCTGGCACTTCTCTTACAAAGCTGCTTCCATTCATCCTTGAAAAGTTACCTCCTGTGTCTCAGTGGCCTGAATTAGGCAGTGTGCCTACCCCTGAGTCTGGCTTCCTGGTGGCTCAGACGGTAAAGAATTCACCTGCAATGTGGGAGACTTGGGTTCGATCCTTGGATTGGGAAGATCCCCATGGAGGAGGAAATGACGAGCCGCTCCAGTATTCTTGCCTGTAGAATCCCATGGACAGAGGAGCCTGGCGGGCTACCGTCCTTGAGGTCCCAGAGTCGGACACGACTGAGCCACGAAGCGCACATCCCTGAACCAGTCACTTGGGAATGGGACTCCACTGATACTGGGCTAAGCAAATCTAGAATCTCCTTCAGTGCTGAGACAAGATAAATACTCTCCAAAATGGGAGAAAGGCAGTGAGGTGAGTGAGGAAAACTGATGTTGTGTGACAGCCAGTCCTTGCAGCAACTGTTCTGGTTTCATATGCAGAATAACTTCAACAAAAATAGTAAGTTACGCTAGTGTTTATTGTGTGTACCATATGCTAGGTAGACATTTGCTTCGTGGTTTAGATACATTTTAGTCATCAGAACCACCTTGAGAAATAAAAGGAATTAATCCTTATGTTGTAAGGAAGGTTAGAGAGATTGAACAGTTTACCCCAGGTTACATAGCTAATCACACCTAGATTGGTGTGGCCTAATTATCCACACTCTTTTCACCATGTGATGCTGTATCATTATTAAACTAGGTGTTCTTTATAAAAACATTCTAAGAGTTGTCTTAGAAATTCATCACTGAAGAAATCTAGAAAGTAATCCATCCTGTCTTGGCTTAGTATGCTGTATATCCATACAGAAATAAGCCTTGGTAAGGCAGAGTTACACAAGAGGAGTTATTATCTCATTTTACACATTTTTGAGCACCACTGTCTTACTGCAGTGGTCAGGTGGGGTACTCTAGGCTACATGCATACACACGTATGCAAGCATGCATGCACATGTGCTGCATATATGACTACTGGAAAGATCGCACATTCTAAGAGGTTCTTTCAAGTGACACAGTGAAAATGACAGAAGATCCACCAGGCAAGAATACTGGAGGGGGTTGCCGTGCACTTCTCCAGGGGATCTCCCTGACCCGGGCACCGGACCTGCGTCTCTCACGCTCTTGCATTGGCAGACAGTTCTTTACTGCTGGCACCGCCTGGGAAGCCTCTGCTGCTCTAGTCTTGTCTATTGAGAATTGCTTCTCTGCACAGTATTTTTTAAAATGATGCGGTTTGTAAGGCAGTGGTGTTACAGAAGCATCTTATCAAGGTGAGCTCAGAGTCTTAAATGTCCTAAGTCTTATTTTGGAATCTACAGAATTTTATGGCCTCTGTCAGGTGCCATTGATCAGAGATTCAGTGGTATTTTTAGCAAGTGCTTGAAAAACGTAGTTCCAACCATTGGAGAGGAGCTAAGGAAGAAATGACAAAAATTAATAAAAATTTCATATGTAGATTGTCTTCATGGGTAGCTTATCAGCTACATGGAGGAGATTTTTTTACATTATTTACTCATTCATCCAAGAATGCTTGTTGAAGTACTATGACATGCTAGACATCCTGTGGTGTTTGCTGAAATTAGCCGACTGACTAGAGGTGCAGTTCTCTTCACTGGGTTTATAGGTTAAGGAGGCTTATGTGAAAGTCTAAATTTAAAAAGAGCAGGAGGCAGAAGGAAAAGTGCTGAATGTGAGCTAATTTTGGAAAGAAGAAATATTAGGATTCCACAGAACACAGAGGTTGTGTCATATGCTGCTTTAATCAAATTCCAGGAAAGATTTTTTTCATTTGAAAGTTCTTCCACAGCTTAAACAAAATGCTGTGTGGTTTCAAAATTAGAAGGGTTCACTTCTTCTAAACTAGGCCAGTGTATCAATAAATGTATCTTACAGTATATGAGAATATTGGTCCAGGAAGTAACTTGAACTAAATATTGATTTCATATCCATTTTAATAAACATTTTTTGCCTATTAAAGTTGAAAAATTAGTGGTAAATTTTGCTGTTTACTGTTGCGTTTAGGTTTTGTTTTTGTTTTTTTTAAGAAAATCAAGTCAAGTTTGATAGAAGCTATTTCAGTAATGTTCTTGGTAATAAGTTTGATATTCTCTTTGGAAGAACAGAAGAAAATAAATGATCTGACACCATTAAAATTACTTTTGAAACATATAGCTTATTGATTTTGTAAATAGTCCACCTAAATTTGTGTAATGCTTGATTTATTAATAGGGGAAAGAGATTAGAAAAAAAACTTTCTAAGGAGAGTTAGGCCTGTGTTTGTTTTCTTGAGAGTCTCATTAAAGAAAAAGCCATTTAATCTTTACCTCTAGAGTTTTTCTATTTAAGGAGGCTAGATCCCTGGTGAAGAGTATCAGAAACATCAGGAAATGACAATTAAAATACTAATCCTTCTTGCAAAACTCTGGCTTAATATCTGAGGTTCTAATAGAAAAAGTAGGAATGACTGTTTTTAGAGAGTGTTCATGCAATGTATTTTGACTAGGTTTTGTTTCACTTTGTTTAATAATGCAGTACATTATAATGTGCATTAGCAAGGAAAAGTAATCAAGCTTTAATCTTTAATGCCACGCTGTTAGTGACTGTGGTCTAAGGCGGCCCTGTTTAGTCTGGTAGTCACTGACCATATGTAGCTCCTGAGCTCTTGAGTTCTGAAATGTGTGCTTCTAAAAACTGAACTTTGAATTTCACTTAATTTTGAATGATTTAGATTTAAAATTTAATTTCCAGTACTATGATTCAGTTATTGGAAAAATTTAAGTATAATATTTTTGGAACAACCTAGGTATGTGAATCTACATTTTTTAACCATGAATTTGATGAAATCTAAATACAGATCAAATATTTCTGATGGAAATTTGCATCTAAACTGAGATGGCCCATAAATATAAAATATACAACTTGTTTTAAGGAGATAAGATGATAAAATGTGAAATATTTCCACCATAATTTTATAATAGTGCATGTTGATTTAATAATATTTTATACATAATGGGGCTAAAGAAAATATGTATTAGTCACTTTCACCTTTTCATTGTTGTAACTTTTTAAAATGTGGCTACCACTATATTTGAAATTACTAAGTGGCTTGCATTACACTTCTTTTGGAACATGCTGGTTTGAGGAGTTTCTCTCAGATATCCCTGGAATCCATTTGATGCATGAAAATGAAATCTGGCTCAGCAGCTTTATCAAACTCATAGCCTTTTTTTCCTGTCCTACTATATTTGTCTTGGTGTTAGTAATCTCAATTTTTTAGGCAATCACTGAATCTGGTAACTAATTGAGTATCATTTACTTTTTTATTTAATTCATAATAATTATAATCTTTTATCTGGTATTAGAGACAAAAAGATTTCTTAGAAAATTTTAGCTAGGCAGATTGGTGAGAAATGATGACCAAGGAAAAAGTATGACTGAATATTATTATGTGTTGAGTAATATACAGTGTGAAGCCCTTGAAGTACTTAAACTGCATCTCAGAAAATTCGTAGTGTCTGCTTTCTAATAAGATGTGTTCTTTTTCTTTTCTTTTACCCTCCTCTTAAATGAGCAGAAAGTGGTTGAATGTGTAGTGCTTTCTGTCTGGAAGGTGTATCTAATAGGTGAGATGTGTAATATCTAATAGGTGTAATATGTAGTATCTAATAGGTGTGAATGTGACTCTCATCATGATCTCTTGCTGTTGATCCTTCCAGGAGGTGATTTCCTCACGTTCCTGAGAAAGAGGAAGGACGATATAAAACTCAAACAGTTAGTGAAATTTTCATTAGATGTTGCTTCTGGTATGTCCTATCTCGAGAGTAAAAACTGTATACACAGGTAAGGAGAATATTTTTAAAACATTTCCAGTTCTGTATATAGGCTATTAGAAAACTGATGTATTTGCTATCATGAAGCAATGAATTTTCTTTCACAACATGTATTTCTTGTTGGTTTTCATATTTTGAGTGAAAGCATTCTTTGACATCTTAGAGAAACGCTTCTTTTCTATCTTCCTGAGGTAAGTCCTTATTAGACAATTATTTACTAATTAAAAATTTATTATAATCATGAATAGCATGGTGATAAGATGTACCTCAAGTTAATTATATAAGCAACTATAATCTTATCAAATAATATTGTTTAATGTGTTATTCCCCTTTTTTAAAGAAATTACTTATAAAGTTATAGAAAATCTTAATAGTAAAATAATTCATGACTGTGTATGTGGCCAAGGGTAAAAATATTTTAGCACACTAGTATTTCAAAGGAGATTTTAGCAAATTTGCTCTGATTATATTAAGACCAGCAACTTGGTCTTAATTCTTTATAGATTGTGGTTTTAGTTGCTTACAGCTGAAAGGTTTGGGTTTTTTTTTTTTCGCTAAATGTGAATAAAAATTAAGATCTCTTGCAGGATTCATGTCTGAGCCTAAATATGACTGTGTATATACATGAAATAAGGTTTAGAATTTGATGCAGTTTTTATCTGCTGGGAGCAGCACATGATACTGTTTAACGTGGGGAGAGTTCATTGTCAGATGAAACCATTATGTACATTAAGCTGGTTGGTTATTGAGATGTATTTTTCCCTCATGTGTTTCACCATGTAGTCTTTGACCTAATATTCTGGTGAAGTTGTACAATGTAGAACTGCAGCAGAACAAAGTTATATTCACCTAAAATATACATTTATTTGATCTCAATGAACAATTTTGACTTAATGCCCCCCCCAATTTTGCTTAGTATTCAGTTTTATTCTGAAACTAAAATTATAGCTTATGTTTCAAATATGGTTCAGCAATCACATGTGTTAAAATGCATTTCAATGGGAATATTCAGTTCAGTTCAGTCACTCAGTCATGTCCGACTCTTTGCAACCCCATGGACTGCAGCACGCCAGGCCTCCTTGTCCATCACCAACTCCCGGACTTTACTCAAACTCATGTCTATTGAGTCTGTGATGCCATCCAACTCTCTCATAGGGATATTATATTTCTGGAAATTAAGACAGCGTAAACTAAGCCACTATCATATTCCTGTTTTACTTTCTATGAATAGTGACTGTCTTTACTTTCGATAAATGTAGATCGAATCACAATGTAATAGATATTTGAAAAGACTTTAAAAAATTGGTTTTGGAAAAACCAAAAGATTTGGAAAAAACAAAAAAATTTAAAAATTGGTTTTGGAAAAGGATTGTATAATCATTTTGTTACTTTATGTTAAAAGTAACAGGAAAGGATTGCCCTTTATTTAGAGAAAGCCTGTAATTTTGATTGCTCAGGTGTTAGTTAGCATTTGGGCATCAAATGCTCTACTGTAGTTTTTATTCTGTCTCAGATTTTTTTTAAACTGCTAGACTATCTATGACTTTAAACCATAATAAATACCCATTCTTGAAACTGTTGTATTGTCAGTTACTAATAACACTCTTTAATTGCTGGTGTGTTGTGGTTGAGGGAACTGCTGATTCAATTTCTTACTACTTTTTAGTGATGGCTTTTTTTGCACATGGATGACTGTATTTTTTTTTAAGTGCTTCTATCATCAGAATTGAAACCATTCTAAATTGCTGATAATTCTAACTTATCCCACTTAAAAAATCATAACATTATCTGCTATAATTTTTATTTTCTCCTTTTGCTTAAAAGTGTTCATGCATTTACAAATTTTTGAAAGTCAGCCCATGGTTGAACACACACCTGAGAAGACTGCACATAGTGCTGTACCGTTTGCCTGTGAGGAAGGCACCTAACTGAGCATGCTGAACGACGGTGCTGAGAGCAGGTTTGACAAATAGGTCTCAGTGACTGGTCGCAGCTGTCTGTGTGGTTCATCGAGAAGGATTCCAGGGTCAGTGACGGAGCCCAGTGATTGATTAGTCACATCTGTTAGGGTGCTCACAAGCATTAACACAGAACCCCCAGATTTGTCATCTGTCACATAGAATGTCTTTGTCTTTAGTTTCATAAATATTTTGGATATGATATTTTTACTAGCTGTATTATGGCAACATGTAATATTTTTCTGTACTCACTTTCACTGATAACCTAAACTATCTACTATTCTTCTCTTGTTAATCATGATTATTGGATGACTTTTATAATATCTCTAGCCAGTGGTCGTTTGTTCCTCTTCACACTTATGTAAATGATCTTTTGGATGAATTCAGTATTTTTTTTTTCATTTTAGTATCTCACCAATACATGATGCTACATTGAGAAAGTAAATCGTTCTTCTACTGAATTTTTCATGGAAGTGACTTGTGCTATAGAACCGTGTTCTCTGTGTCTAATTCTGTGGTAGCAGTCGTAATTGTGGAGGTTTAATTGATTTACATTTAATAGATATACTCAAGACATGCATTTTCTTCTCCTAAGAAATAAAACATATATATATATATTTATGTAGTATATAGCATAAATATATAAATACAACATATATAGTATATACTACAGTGAAGAGTATTTTTCCTCATTGGAGAAATTTTAGTGAGGTATTTCAAAATTCAATTAAAATTCCTAAAGTATAATTGAAAGTTTCCTTTCAGTTTTTCAGTAAATAAAGACACCAAGTTCCATTCCTAACATCCCCAAATATATAAAATACATGTCAATGACTTCTACAGTGTTTGTCCTACAAATCAAAGCAAAATATTAAATATGCTCTAAATTGTATATGAAATTGTAAATTTATAACTGTTCACTGATTAGAGGTCACTGTAATTCAGAACCTGAAAATAGTTTTAGTTGTGTCTCCCCAAAATCGTATCTTTACTTTGGTGGGGATGCATTTCTTTACTTTAGCTTTGTTTTGTTTTGATTACCATGAGAAGAGCAGACAGTGTTTCATTATAGATAAAAAAGTATGACCTATAAAATGGGGACAAGTAATTGCGTAAAGAAATGGCCTGCTTTGGGAAAATGTTCTTGTAATTTCCATGTCACTTCCAGAAGCGTTCTCTTGACACACGAAGTTTCTAATTGAAACCATTTCTGTTTATAGTTAGAGTGTTGGATATTTCGTGTTTCAGTTCAGGTGAAATCAACCCCCTTTACTTTATAATTATTCAGTGCTTACTTGACTTCAATGTGACTTTTTTTTTCTTCCTTTTATGTCATACATATATTTGAAGTACACTGACAAACTTTGAGAGGGGATGTTACTTACAATGGCATTAGATTGCTAGGTGTCACTCTATAAAAAGTATTAAACCTGATTATTATTAATGTTAAGTGGGTTGAGGGTTGACCTTATACTAGATTTAAATGGTAATGGCATTTATGGTTTTATTGCTGATGAGTTCTACTGCAAGATTTATTTTTATTTGGGTTTATTTTTAAGAACTGATTTTGTGGTGTGTTCTTTGTCAATGAAAAGTAAAGGAGGATAAACTCTTGAATGCCATGTATTTGAGTAGAAGACCATACTCCGCTGGGAGTGTTGGAAGCATTTCTTAATTTCATGATACTGTATGTCATTGTCAACGCCAGAAAAGGCCTTTTGGGAGGCATGCTACAGAATATGATTTCTTTTTCCATTTTAAATCTTACACTGATTCCTCTTCATTTTCAGTTACTGTACCACAATGATGTTTTTTGTTATGAAGTAAGATTAGCAACTCTACAAATTAAAGTATATAAGATTACAAATATTTATTGTTTAGTAGCAGTTTTGCTTGTGCATTGAGAAAAGTGATGTTTCTGGTACTTCATAAACATGGATGGTAGCCTATTCTGTACCAGGGTGATAACAACATGGGAATCATGGTCCCTGCCTTCAGATGGACGTAGCAGAAAATAATGCGATGAGATACTCAGTGTAGTGACAACATGAACAGGAGTAATATCAAGAATGTCTAATGTGATGAGTCATTGTGGGAGCTGTGGCGGGGAGTAATTGGAAGGTTTTGTGGAGGATATTGTTTGATACTTGATGGGTTTATCACTGAATGCAAGGGGAAAGAATATTCTTGCTGCAAGAAAGTTGACAACAGAGTTCTGTATTTCATGAGAAGGCGTGATTTAATCCTGCAGTACAGAGAGTTTGATACCAAAATGGGAAGTCCAGGCAGCATTGGGGTGAGCCAGATAAGCAGGGCCTTTCTTACCCAGGGCCGTGTGATGCCGTTTAATTTGGCTAAACCTAGGAATGTCTAGGCCTGTGTTCAGATGATTTTAAGATGGTTAAAAGTCTCTGGTTTTTAACAGAAAACGGAAAGTAATTTCAACAAAATTCACAAAACCTTGAAGAGCATAACCTTGTGCAAAGGTGTGAGCATGAGGCCAATTCTATTTGTGAGTGTCAGTGGGCAAGCAAAATGAGGAAAGTAAGGCTGCCAGGAAGGACCGGACTAGATTTCTCTTGGATGTGTTCCAGAAGGGGGCTATTTCATCTAGTGACTTCTCATAGGGTGGGCACGCATACTTCTTAAGACAGACGCAAGATGCCACTTCTTTTTGGTTTTCCTGATTTCATATTTTACAAAGATTTGGTATGACAGTGACCATTTATGTTTTCCCTTTCTTGAGAGTTTTTCTTTATGTTTTTAAATACAACTGATTGCCTAATATCTGAGTTCTTCCTAAGGTTTTAATGTGTTGGAAAAGCATTCTTGTGTATACTACATCTTCATATTTTCTTTAATGTCTTCTATGTCTCATGATCTGCCATATATTTAATAAGGACAATCTTAAGATCACTTTACAGATTAAGGAATTGAGGCCCAGAAAGATTAAGCAAAGGCCACCTAGAGAATTAGTGGTAGGGCCACTGTTAGGTCTTAGATGTGTAACTACATCCTGACACATTCCTATTCCAGTGTTCTGTCTCAATCA